AAATTGCAGGTTGTATGTAGATCAAATTGCAGGCTGTATTTAGATCAAATTGCAGGTTGTATGTAGATCAAATTGCAGGCTGTATGTAGATCCATCACCTCAGATACGTACCCACTGTTTCAAAGCTACTAACGCATATCATATTATGCAGCCAGTATTGTTGTCCCTTGTATTAATTTAAATATCCATTATATGAAAAATATTTTAAACAAACATTTTTAGATCTAAATTAATACTACTTTTATGCCGAGTGCCAGTTCCGTTTCTTCCTTAGGGAACAGACGGCTTATAAAACTATCATGCTCTCTGCGTGAGTGTGTGCGCTCACACGTATGCCTGTGTGTGTTTGTGTGTCTGTCTGCAACCTCATTTTAACTTTTGAACCAAATGACAGATTTTCATGAAACGTGGTTGGAATGGTATGCCACTGAAGACCACCCGAACGCTCTATTCTTTTATTTCGTGCATCAGGAGTAAAAACATTACGTCCGCGTGAACTCGCGATTTGAGAGCGACATCAGCGACTCTCTGTGGTGTTGAAGTGACTCATGGTAGAACATCTTGGAGAAAAATATGCTACTTTTATTAATAAAATTTTCTGTAAAAGTTAACTTTTGTAAATGAAAAATAGCAACATTGTGGTCGTGCAAATATTTTCTTTATCTCTCGGTTGTTATAGCGATAACAAATGAACCTTTTAGAGCTAGTCATGTGAACTTTGGTTTGGAGGCAGTTCATAGATACGCTTACATTTCATGATTTATATGGAATATTGTTTTTGAGTCAAATACGATATTTGAATTACTTATATCCGACGAGTTTAACGTACACAGGATCTGCATTTCAGTAATAAGTTCTTAGCAAAAATTAAATAGGTCAACACTAATAACCTTAACATATTAAAAGAATAGATATCCGTGCAATAGACAAAATAGGCACTGCCAGTTTTGCTCGGATGAGCATGACGAGCCGTCTTCGAGACAACTGATACATTTCGAAATAAGCGTAACATATAGTAGGGATTATGTTAGATCTATGTGGACCAAAATTGAATTCGGCCGATTTAGTGTGCTCCCCAGCATCAATAGCAAATGCCGTCGAAACCTGTTCAGAAGGTTCAGAAATAAAATGTGCAGACACGATTTCTGCATTAAGCAATGAAAGTATGAAAATGTCACTTCCTTTTGTTGACTCCAGCAGGCAACAGTGCCGTAATACGTATATACTCGTATATGGTATATATATGCAGCCTAGCTACAAAACGACCGTTTAGAACGAAATTGCTTTCGAATTCCTAATTTAATTGAATTTCCAGACGATATTTATGGTTTGTGTCTTGTTAACACCAGGATTCTGGGAACTTGAGGTTAACTACTTGATATTTGATGGTGACAAAGAAAGGGACGAAGAACAGTTTTTATTCTGCTTGTAGATAGAGCATGTGAGAAGTCGATTCAAGGGGCAAGTTACATATCTGTCGAGGGATGCAGAAAGTCAGCAATTGATTTGTGTGTAGCATCTTGGTGATTATGATCTGTAACGCCCAAAATTCAGAAGAAATGCATACAAGTATAGCGCCTTGAAATTAAAATTTGAAAAGAATAATTACCATTGGCATTCCATCCAACGCAGATTTAGGACTAATTTTGAAATTCCGTATATAAACCAAGGAAGCAGTAGTAAACTTTTCCTCTCATGTTGTAGGAAGGAGAGTCAGTAAATAGGTCATAAATGGAAATAAAACGTCAAACAGGTGATATTCGAACCTGGGAAAAAAAATTTCTTCGTCGACATATCCTCCAGCAACATTGATACACACATTCCATCGCTTTGCCAGCGCGTCGAAACCCGCAGCCAAAAGTCTTTTGACTGTTGTCTCAGCCACTTCCGCACCTCCATTTCAACCTCTTCGTGATCAGAGAGACTTTTGCCACCCAGCTGTGAACCCCTTTACACGACGTACATTTTCTGCCGTATACAGGAAACATTTCTTTATGAATAGCCTTTAAATTTGCCCGCAAAAAAAAACGCACAACAGGACGCTGCTCTTCGATAGTACGTTCCTCAAGCACGGTCGCCATTTTGACTACTGAAACCGGCCTCTGAAAGTGCGCATGTGCGTCTGTTACCTAGACTGTCATGAAGCTTGTCTGTGCTGCTGCCTAGTCATATACATAGAAAACCTTTTATGTCCATTACAGATGTTTTACTTCCATTTGTGACCCATTTGGTGACTTTATTTATCAAATAGGAAAATTATGCACGAAGTGAATTAATGTAGATTCAGATGCTGATACACATTATAACCAGGATATCGGGATCTTATTTTATGATTTAAGGATGATCCTTGAATTGCTGCATGAGAGAGGGTTCTCTCATAAATCATGTTATAGATCCATTCGTAAATAAATTGTATTTCCTTGACGTGTTCACTCTGGGATAAGTTAATAAGCTTTGGTGTTAGCGAGATTAAAATGTGAGGTTACTGTATAGATAAGCGGCCTCCGTAGTCTAGAGGTAACGTTCCCACCTCATGACTCGTAGTACGCGGGTTCAAATACCCGGCGGAGGTCGTCGAATTTTTAAGGGCGGAAAAATTCAGGGAACAAGTCCTCCGGGAGGGACTTTAAGCCGTGGGTCCCGTGTCGTAGCTTTACGGCACGTAAAAGAACCTCATATCTCCAAAGGAGGTCACTGAGCCAAATTAACGGACGTTTCGCGCCCAACAGCAGTCTCTAATACCTCTGGTAGATGGGGGAAGCATTATAGATACCTCTCAGCTAGTAGATCCGGCCTCGCTGGCTGGGCGGGACTGATGGTAAGCACCAGTACCGGTAGGATATAGAGACTGGTAGAAATCATAGAGGGAAGCACAATGGACCGATACAGGTCTAAGTGCATGGGGAAACCCACCCTCTCCAATAACTAACTAACTAACTAACTACTGTATAGATATGTTAGGCCAATGTGAAGGAAACTTAGGCTGGACCTATGGATTTTCATTATGACATTCTTCATATGCTATTGTAATTGAAAATGTATCAATACAATTTTTTAAACTTAAAGTATTAACTTTCGGAGGGAGGTATTTTTTGACGAAGAGTTAGGGTGGAAGGCAACGTCACTAAATGACATCCCCATAGGAGTTATACTGTTACTGTTGAAGGTAAAGTTGTCCCTGTGCTTAACTACGCCGTGAAGGCATAAGGGGGAGTGGATGTGTAGATCCCCATTTTCTTGACCTCGGCACTGGTTGAAGGTGGGTGGTCAGCTTCACGCCCCGGCTGCTTTACCCCCCGGGGAAAGAGATCCCGGTATCCATTGGATAGGAGGTTGGTTGGACCCCAGAGCCGGTCTGGTCGACTTGGAGAAGAGAAATTTGTCTCTTTATGAATAGAAAAAATACACGATGTTTCGAAGGTTGCTACTGTCCTGGTCTTCACACAGAAAGACGTGAATTGTATCTACTTTATAGGTCCCTTTGTACTACAAAGATTGTTCTTATCGCTGGGGGCAGAGGCCTCCTGCGAAACTCAGTGTACGTGTGTTTCCCCTTATTCAGGAAATGGACAATGTCCAGAAGTGAAACGCTCCATTCTCGATATTTCTTACTCGAAGAATACTGTCACAAACGTGAAGCCCAGAGAAAATTACCAAGATCAACACAGTATTATGCGTATACGCTACTGGTAGTTACTGCTGAATGATATGCAGTGGTTTACTGGCTACGGTAAGGCCTTACATGAAGTTACTTTTGGCGCTATTCTGACTTAAAATGATTCCGTGTCTTTCTTCTGTACGCTCTAACGACGGTATGAAGAACTGAGTGTACACGGCCTATCGTTTTCATACGAGAAAATAGTATACACTCAGTTGGTCAAGAAACGCGTAGCTTCTTACAGAACTACGAAGGTTGAATACCATTCTCACAAGAAACAGCTAAATCCTTAATACTGGGTGACATTTCGTAGCATGTCAGGTTTTCAATATAGTGTATATTCAGATTATTTTTGTCTGTATTGTGACACCGTGCAGTCTTATACGTGGGTACCAACGTTTCGGAGGACTATGTTGCTCCCATCTTCAGGGTTGAACTGAACATAAACGCAGGCCATAATCTGAGGGGAAAAGGAGGCCTACAAGCTTAATTTCGCAGGTATGTAACTCATTTTAACTACACTCCTTGTATGCGGAAATGTACTGCAACGAAATGGAGATATTTACCTTGTTAACCATCTTTATTTTAGTCACGTAAACGTAAATTTCACAAAACGACACTTCATGTTTTTCCCAAAGTAGGCATTTTTAGTGTCTGCCGTTGAAAGAGTGGTTCTAACAGCTGGGATTCGCCATACAGGACTAAGTATCCCTTCTTTTTGCTTCCTGTCCATAGGTTTTAAGTACTCTTCATTGCTGGAATTAGATGCAACACGAAATTTAAACTAAATTATGTATTCCGTGAGCCATGCCATGTCCAACAGGCACGTCAGTCATTAGCATCCAGATTTTCGTTGATGGCCATTTAATCAAGACCAAAAATACATGAAAGACAAATATTTAGTTTTAGGGGTCAAATAAAGGAAAATGCAATTGGATTAGCAGCGACTTTGTTTCTGCTCTAGTTTTGTTCACGTTTCAGCTTTTTGACAGGTGGTGTATAAATGAAACGGTTCAAATTGGCGACCTGCAAAACATATGCTCGATTATTATACGCCCTTTGAATTTCATTCTGTGATGAATTGCGAAAGCCTGTAAACGACAGAGACAGCCAATTCTTGATTCTTTCCTTAATGCATGTCTGCAAAAGTAATTTTTCCTTAGTTCTACATACATTAAAAAACAAATGATGTAACCGCTTCAAACGCCATCTGTGATGCACGGCCGAAAACAATTTCATTAAAAATGGAGGGGCGAGAAAGATTTTTGGTATAGAGAAAGGGGAAAGCCGATGAGGACGGAAGGGAAGCGAGGAGAGCGTGCGTCTGCGCAGTAGCGCGCACTGTGGCAGTCTAGCGGCGGTCCCTGCCAGTTTCAAATTGGAATGGGTTGAGCGAGCGGGTGAGTGAGTGAGAAAGAAGGAAAAGAGTTTTTAAGTCTTCGTTATGGATTGAACGGATGGTCTGGGGCCAAAGGGGAATATAGGCAGAAAAAATATAGCATAAAGGAGGGAAAATAGGGGGAAAGGAGGAGAAGTATAAGCAAGAAGTTGGAAGGAGAAATTGAGAAGGGGAAGAGAGACGAGCCCCCGTTTTTCACTTGATTTTCATCTGTTTCCTTCAGTTCAAGTTTGGCGGGGGACTGGAATGGAGCAAGGCGAGTGAAATGAAAGGATTGATAAAATAAGGAAGGGGTTATGCAAGAATCTGTTGTGTGCAGAAAGTTGACACGACACACCGAGATGTGCATGGCTTGTTTGGTGACAGATTCATCGTATTTTTATGGTGAAGTGAACCTGTAATCAATGACGGTGGAATGTGTAGAATATTAGACAGTGATATATATTGAATTTTAATTTCCCGTATCAGTAATTTGGGACGGTTTATTATAGCAGTGCCTATACCTGAAGTAGGCCTTAATTAATTAATTAATTCAGTACATGATGTGTGAATGTGAAAATGTACAGTGGTATGACGCAATTCATTCCAGTTTGTTGGATACTTGCGAAGTGGTTATGTGACATGTGGTGCTAGCTGTGGATCGCTCCCGGCATGCCCTAACTTTGCTAAAAGTGCATGTTCCGATGTTCATCTGGCTCCTCAGGTCGTCTTTCGCTTGGAATAACTGACCATTCAGCAATACAGCTAACTAGTTTGTCAACTATTGTAATCAATCAACAGTGCAGGTCAGTACATCTATGGCTGAGATTGCGACCAAGGTTAGTACGTTTCAGCGTGAGTTTTTATAGCCCCTGAATCATTTGATGTGCCCAATACTTATCCTGCGTACAGTTGTGGATGTTATTGGCTTGCGGTAATTAGGCCTCGGTCATTGTTTTAATGAGCTTCGTAAGCGAGCGGGTCAAGTGATTTTTGAACAGAACTTGGTCAGTGTAAATTACGTTCTTCGGATTAAACGCGCGAAAAGCAATCGAACTTTTTGTGAGTACAATTTATGATTATTGATTTCCTTGTGGGCAATTATACGTGTTACGTAAGTACTTCACTTGCACTTTTTTCTTTGAAATTTCACACATATTAGAAATATTCTAGCTAGTGCCCTGTCGTAGAAGTACAGTACGCATTTATAGTTAGCATAGTTATAGAAGCATATTTACGTATCATAAAACAACATTGTGGGTGTTACGCTGCAAACGTTGTGCATATTACAAATATTGTGCAACGAAAAGTACTGATTAATTCTTGTGTAAAGGTTTTAAGGATATGATTCATTTAACATATGTTAATTTCTTTCCTATATTTTGCGTGAAATGAAACCAAGACGCGTGTTTGATATGTACGGAACATCTAAACACTCTGTGTAATAACCATCCGTGAAATTTTGTTTTAATATAAAACGGTTTATAAATTTGTTGAATTTATGAGCAGTCTGTTTCCATTATTAATAGATACAACAGGCTAGTTGACACTGTAAACAATTTATACTTTTCTCGAACGGAACCTGCATTTCCTTATCGAATAGTATTGAAGTCGTCAATGGCCGGCAGCATTTATGTAAATCATTTGTTCTTGTGTGTGGGAAGAAAAATAAAGAGTAGCGGCGAAAGGACGCTTGACACTTAAGCAACAGTTGTTATGAGTTCATTTTAAAGATTTTGATTTGTTTTATGTCACGAAATTTCTGCATTTGGACAGTATGGAGAGATCGATTCCGGGAAACGAGATGTGACCATTTGAGAGGCTTTAGGCCCTTGACTACGGCGATAGACGATTGCTGCTTTTTAAAACTCGTTACATCATATCCTTCTAGATATTTTTAACAGGCTTTGAAGATTTTGGGATACTGTTATTGACATTTTCGTTAGAAGTAACTAGTGCGAAGTTTGCGGCGGTGCTGTAGTTGCTGTCGATGTGCCTTACCGAATCCAAGAAATTGAGTTTTATCCAGCCTAGTGACGCCTTTACCTATTCATGCAAAATTAACAACAGAAAAGAACGTCAGTAGCGTATAAACAAAGCTCTAAGTCCGTAACACCTAAATAAACACCCGAGCTGATTCAGCAGGAGAAATGGGTATGAATTTTGATTTACAGTTGTGTAAGTAACGCATTGTTGTGCAACTTGTGTAGCTGTTATTCAGTGCTGGTAACTTCCTTATGAAGTACGACGTGTTTATCCTGTTAAGGAAGAGAAGCGGCATCTCCAACTTTCTGCTGCATTTCCGAACGTAATGTGGTTTGTGTTAATTTGCGTATCGCCAAAAAATATTCGATTCGTATTTAATTTAAAAATCAGTAAGACTTTTCGACAAGGGCATCCATAACCTAGAATTTTCTAACTATTGGCATATTTTACAATAATAGCGACTCTGGGATATGGAGCCGTTTTAAGTTAGCACTTTTCTAGAAAGTGTTTTTCATCCTGATTTAATTCGCGAGGTTAGTCAGTGCGAATATTGACCCAGGAATTGAAATTCTGTTGTCGAAAGCGCCCGTATGAGATTTAGTGGCTTCAGATTCCATTTAAATAAGAACTACCTTAAAATTCGTTGAAGCTTTGTACAGTGTTGGGGCATGCGTATCACTGGGTTCGTAACATAATTGTCATAATCAACACCACCATCAGATCCATAATTTCTATTATTTGATGTCTGAAAACAGGCATGTAGCTTGGTCTATAAATCATTGTTTTTGGATCGTGGATTCTGTGTCGGGGTCTGGATGACGCTGTCTGTGCGGCCTGGTCGTGCGCCAATCACGGCCCTCCACGGACAATTCGTCAAGAGGTCCAGTCATGTTGGTCGGATTGGGCGTCATCTCTGGTCCATGCATGTCTGCGCTGGCTTGAGAAATAGCTTTTATATTCAGTCGGAATACGTTCCTGTTCTATAAGTTACTGCATATAAAAATTCACGAAAACTGCAACAAACGCTATGTTCACTTTTCTGTGGAAACTTTAATTAAAAAGTAATATTTAAGTAGTGGGAATAGTTACTTAGTTCTACATGTAAAAAGAACCGTTTCATGCAGAAGCACGAATCAGGATGTTACAATTAAGATATATGACACATAGACTGGCATTGCTACAAATTTATTGGTAGCAACCTGGAGTACATATACGGTATATATCAGTTATAATAATGTGATGCATAACTTTTAATGGCCCACTTATCAAAATTTAAGCCAATAAGATGGAAAGTAAACAATTTCGCCATAGCTCAGGCGGTTAGTCGCTGGCTTCCCACCACGGCTGCCCTGGTTCGAGTCCGGGTCAGGTCATGTGGGGTTTGTGGTGGACAAAGTGGCACTGGGGACTTTTTCCGAGTACTTTGGTTTTCCCTGCCAATCTACATTCCACCATTTGCTCCACAATCGCCCTCACCTATCACATGGGGCTGGTACAATAGGCCAGTAATTGTCGCAGTACCAAATGGACTGTCTTACCCCATGAAGAAAAAAAGAAAAGAAAAAAAAAACCATTGTCGAAAGTATATGGTGGCGTAGATTTTAATTAAACTGAATTTTAAGAAATGCTGTTTCACACAGTTTATTATTCTCGCGATTGTTTGGTGCAGCGGTGACCGATGTCAGATTTTAAGGTCCAGTAGAACCCGACGGCAGTTTTCAATTATGTAGATGTAACTAAGCAGTTTGTAGACAGGAAAATTAACGAGAAATACTGCACGAAGAGAGGTACGGAAGAATTTCGAATGCCTAAAGAATAAGAGCAAACACAAACTACGAAAATAGTAGCCCTTTCTGTCATCATGTAAAAAAGGCTGGTCTTGTACCCATGAAGCAGGATGTTAGGCTTAGAAATCTTATTTTATGTACATGGTAGAGGAGTATTTTTTCGGGTCGAGAACAATATAAGGGCGACATTTAAATTAAGAATAGTCTTGAGAAAAAAAGGCAATATATTGTATCCAACAACAAAATTAAAACCGACGTAGAAATTTTAGTTATATGTACCATGCTAGTGGAATATCTTAGGAAAGGTGAACAAACCAGTTGCCAGTTGTAGCTGGAACAGGCAGAAGATGCGCCCAGTGCAGTTTTCACTTAAATTTAGTCTGCAACGTTCTCAAGTCACAGTATATTCTTGATTACAATTCAGTATTTGTATCAAATAAACGATCTTTTGTTATTTATTAATTTGTTTACCACTCGTGGAGAGCTGTTCGGATCTTTTGGCAAGTATCGATGTGTTTTTTTGCAACAAAAATGTTTTCACTGATAAATTTGTGAACTCTAAAATGATGTAGAATGCAAGCGTCTATGTGGCGATGTAAATACATAAAAAGAAATGAGGCTGGTCGAGGATGCGATTTTAAACCTGCGGCTTATTATCTCCTTCCGTCAGTGAACTCTGCGTGAACTCGAGGCTTGCATGAATGAGTACAAGCTAAATGTGTGTCATCAACAAATATAAAAAACACTGCCTCTTCCTCTTATTATCAGAATTGTATTATTGTTTAGAGTCATGGTTAGCATTTGAAACAGACACGAAAACATTGTAATTTCGAATGTATGGCCTATTGTGGGTATTTTTCGCTATATTTTGATACAGAATAATTTTAGTAATGTCCCATATTCTATAAGTCTAAATAAGTTATGGTTTTCTGTATAAATGACAAGTTCCTTGCAGCCAGAGACCCCTCTGACATCAGATCATTTGTCGTATATTTTTTTTTTCGTGAAATTTGTTAACGTCGGCGAGTGTGGATTTTGATGTCTCTTGCTGTGTACATATGTAGGGTATGTCGTCCGTTGCTGCGAAATCTTGGTGGGCGGGTTTCTGCAGATTGGTGTTATTTCTGTGCCTGATTGACCGCCTCTGTGGTCTAGTGGTCACAGTTCCTGGCTACAGATCCAGAAGTCCGGTTCGATTCCCAGCGCTACCAGAATTTATGAGAAGTAGTGGCTCTGGAACGGGGTCCACTCAGCCTCGTGAAGATAATTGAGGAGTTGTTTCAAGGAAATAGCGGCTCCGGTTTAGAAAACCGAAATTAACGGCCGTGGGGATTCGTTGCGGAAGCCACGCGACACCCTCTATCCGCTAAAGTTGGCACTAACTTCGCCGACAAGCGGCAGTCACTCGGTCGGTATAGTTCGCTTGCGGACTAAAAGAACGGAGTTTGGTTTGTTTGTTTGATGGACCCGAATTATGAGAGAAGATAATCTGAGGAGACTGATAACTGCAGAATATTTATTTCAGTTTTGTTTTGTACAAGTGTAATTCCGAGACGAACCCTGGTTTTGTAAATGTATATGTAATATCCAATACATATCTGTGATTTCCAGTTAACAAAAAAGAGTACAGCTTCATTAAAGTTAGCTAATATTTTACATCCATTTGCATAACTTGGAAAACTCAGAGATATCATTCGAGTATTTTTTGTAGTCCAAGGAAGGAAAGTTAGATAGCCATGCCTGCACAGTACATCCGTCATTGTACCTTACAACACGCCGGTACGGTGGAAGCGTACAATTTCCAGATTAATAAATTTTGGTTCTAAAGCAATTGTAAAATATGGATGAGAACCCCCCAAAAAAATGGATATATAAAAAACTTACAACCAGAATTTTGGTGATACGTATTGTTGAAATCGGGAGTTTCGCGAGAAATGCACACTGTGGGTCTGGTTTCCAATTGCGTGTTCTTATTCTTGTTCTTTGAGCTACCTTGAGAGTCTTTACCATGGTATGCTGCTTTATTCCGTTCCCGAACGTGTAACGGCTATATCTGGCTTCATGGA